TAATTTTCCCTTTGGGGCCCCGCCCTGGCCCCAGGGGTTGGGGTAGGAATCCCAATTTTACAATTTTGAAGCCTCATCTACCAAGGATGATTCTGACCAAGTTTGAAAAAAATCCATCCACTGGTTCTTGAGAAGAAGTTGAAAATGTAAAAGTTTACGCACGACGGACGACAGACGAAAAGCGATTGGAATAGGTCACTTGAGCAAAGCTCAGGTGACCTAAAAACCAATACATGTATGCACCTTGTATACCTGATGTACGTGGTACCTGTCAGAAATCATTGCAAATATTGACTAAATTAATTTGATGTATCGATAATAAGGTACGTATTACAGGTATTTCCCTATACAAATTATAGTAAATTTACACCCCCCCCCCCCCCCCCTGAGGTGGGGATGACCCGGGGAGGGTTAAATTCAATATTTGACGCTGCAAGCTAAAATGATTTACCGAAATTTGTTTCATACAAGTCAAATAAATCACTTACCTCCCTTTATAATGACCCCAGATCTCAGGAACTTGACAAACATGAGTGTATTGGTCGTAAGATGCTGAATATAGAAAATATTAGTTAAGAGTGATTAACTTGACGCTGCAAGCTAAACTGATTTCCTGAAAAAAAAATGCTTTCTGAATACATATAATAAAATAAACAAAATAACAATTATTCTGCGTAGAATATATAAATATAATTTGATTATACTTAAGCATTAGCATAGATTATTTTTTGAGAAATAATAAAGAGGAGATCAACAAAATATAATGAACAACAAAGTTCTAAATGCGCTACAGTTATATCCTAACAGAAGTCAAAGGGAGGTTACTGTGTTCAACAAAAACCACAGCAGTGGGACAGGGATCCTTTAAACACATTCCATTGCTTTTTTAAACAGTAAAAGGAACGGACAAAAGTTTAAACATAGTTTAAGCTCTCTCCCCAATAATTACGAAATTGTAAAAAAGTATCATACATATGATTAGTACTGTGCAGGGAAGAGTTTGTATAAACAAAATCTGTATCATTTAGCTTAATCAGGTCCAGTACACACTGCTGAGTTATTGATCTCTATAACTGTAAAGATCTGTATAGGTATATCCACCTATAATTTATACATGTATTGAACTCTATTTTCTAAGATTTCATTTTTATTTAAAAGTAAAGTCAAATAAAACTACAGGTTTTTATGGTTATGCTGACAATGAAAGGAATAAGACACATATTTTTATTTGCATACTGTAAAATGTAATCTTTTTTTAAACCAACAGTTTTAAGATGATATTTTAATTCTTTAAAATCATAATCAAAATAGTAATAATTTAAAAAAAAAAAATGATGCGAAAATTGCCCAAAAACATACTTTTCTGGATCTGTTAATTTAGAGAAGGGTGTTTGAAACAGGAATAGAGGGAAATATTTACGAATTTATTTAACGTGCTTATAATTGGCACTGTCTTCACGGGATAACGTATATTGATAAAAACTTTTTTAAGTTTTTTAAAATGCTGCACGCCTTATTTTATCTATCAATGAAAAAGGCAATGTGACCCTAGAGAAAGATAACCACGTTTGGAAAAAGTTTATAAAACACTGATCATTTGAATCATTCATAGTACAAGGGAGGTAACTATGCACGTTTTTATGAATCGCATTTTAACACTGATTATCTGTTTATACGCCTGCCATAATCTATTATTCATACATACTTTATTAATTTTAAATTCCTTTTTCAGAATATCAATCATACACAAAAGCACAGTTTTAATGTTCACTACGTACCTCCAGGAGTCCCTTTCTATATAAATATAAAATTGGTATTAAATAAAATAACTAATCAAAAACACTAATGCTAGTGTAGCAGATAAACAAAATAGGGTATACGTCAGGAAGCCAAATCAATGTCGTGCAAACTATTGTTCGATCAATTCAAACCTCATCGGAACGATTTAAACGCCTAATTCTGAGTTCAAATCAACAGCGATATCACGCTCGCCAACAATACGCTACAGTTATATGTAAAGGCTCCCAAATAATCATAAATGCAATACAAAAAGATAAGGCAAACACACTCACCACGTCTCAGCTCAGTCAGTCAGTTTTCTCGCAATAGCTGTACTCGCGCCGAAATGTAGAATGTGACTATTGCGAATGAGATTTTTTTTGTCCGTCACCAACTCCGATTGTTTTACGAGCAATATCATTGGTGAACGTGATCACGTGTCTAGCCTATATTCATGCGCGTGCTCATAGTTTCCTTGTAATAGAAACCAGTAAATAATCAGAATTCATATCAAAATACCTATATTATATCATCAATACACACGAATATCTAAATAAGTTGTATTTCATTCAATTCTCACTTCACGGACTGAGTTGTAACGAACAAAATACACCTTGACACGGGAACTCTTTGGGGTCATACAGGTATGCAGTGCACTTCCGCCATATACACTAACCAGTCCCTCACTTGCACGTGCGCTAAACGTGTTTGTACGAATGACATGTTGTGAACGAGTAATTGTGTAGATCGGGGTACATACCCGCTCAAATAACCACACTAGTAATTAGCTGACTGAGTAATAATTCAGTAGAAACTATTATGAACATCCCCAGTAGAATGATATGCATTATAAACATATAATATATGATCCCAACTTCTCATTGAATTGAAACAGGAGTCTTGTTTTTAGAAGAACACTTTCCATGTGTAGCAACTGACAACTGAGAAACTGAGAAACGAATACCTAGATGTTGTGAACGGTAAAAAATTACATTACAAACAACTTCACTGATTAACATTTTGTCTATATATTACACACATTTTTCCAAGCTTACTTATGTGTACAACAAAATCTCGATCTCGATAAACTGTCCATCGCTTTATTTGCCGCTTACCG